TTTATAGAAAAGACCAACCGGCATAGCCAGTTTCTGTAGCTCTATCAAGAGGAATTTATCAAGAGGTAAGGAATTCATTTAAAAAACAACTTTCCTCGGATGCACGCTATTTTGAGGAAGAGAGGGCAAAATTATACTAGCATGCAAATATTCTCTCAAATTTCAACTATTGCTCATGGATTTCGAAGTTCTGAGAGAGAACTGCAATTAACACAAGCAAACGGTAAAACAAACTTCCACTGTGCGCCACTGAGGGCACAAAGGTCCAAAAACGTATAACGATTTTGATGCAACATTTGATGATCTTTTGAGAAGGTCTGGTGAGCCAACTACCCTCCACTGATCGAGAAAGGCATTTTGTTGAACAAACCATCTGACACAATACAAATGCCCAAAGCACGTGATCAAGAGCTGGAAAGGAGAAACTTGCATATGCAACATTTGCACATGATGTGTAATTAAAATAATTCATGTTTATATTTAAGTAGAAGCATCTATCCTTTTTGTATTGTAAACAGTTACATTTTTCCTTCTTTATACTTTGAATGTTAATGTTCATGGAAAAATAAGGCCAGAATAACTGTAATGACATAATGAGAATGAGCGGAAACGGTTTAGGCCTAACGATGGTAAGGGGAATGTGGTGTGTAAACGAGGAGTGGATGATATTAATGCAAGACAGAGAAAGTGATTCGTCGCAGTGCCTGTTCCAGTGCTGCACACACTAGAGATTCTATTTGGATGTTTAGATAAATTTTCTCAACCTCTTCCAAAACTCCTTCGCATCTGCTGATTCTGATTCCTATCTGATCAACTGGCCATACATTCTGATCAACTGGCCATACATTCTGATCAACTGGCCATACATTCTGATCAACTGGCCATACATTCTGATCAACTGGCCATACATTCTGATCAACTGGCCATACATTCTGATCAACTGGCCATACATTCTGATCAACTGGCCATACATTCTGATCAACTGGCCATACATTCTGATCAACTGGCCATACATTCTGATCAACTAGTCATATCTTCAATTCATCAACAGTCTATTGCTCTATTGCAAAATGCTTGCTCCATATCACAATATTGCTACAGCCCATGCGTTAACTGCCAATATCTTTCTCCACCCATTTATCTTGGATTTCCAAACCAGCTTTAAGCCTGGTTTCCATATAGCCGTAAGGCTGCCTGCGGCTGCCTGCGACTGCTTTCTGCCATCTGGCATCTTCCATCCCTACGGTATCGCCGGCAGATAATTCTTTATGGAAACGCTTTCTAACGGTACCGCAGGCAGCTGTTTGAAGTGCCGTAAGACTGCCGGGAGAGCCGGGAGAAAGTTGAACGAGTTCAACTTTTCCCGGCTCTTACGGCAGCCTCCCGGTACCGCCGGCAGACAAATTACAAATGGAAACGCCTTGCCTGCGGCTGCCTGCGGCATTCTTTTGTTCAAACGGATCATGTGATGTGCAAGAACCAATTGAAACAGGGCTTTGTTGTTGAATTTTGCCCGCCAGTTTTTCCCGCTCAAACTTTACCTAGTTACCGGCATAGTTACCGATACCGCAGGCAATTGAAAACAGAACGTTTCCATTTGCCGGCGCTACTGTAAGGGTGGAAGATGGAAGATGGCAGAAAGCAGTCGCAGGCAGTCGCAGGCAGCCTTACGGCTATATGGAAACCAGGCTTTAACCTCCTTTTATATTCGCCTTCAAGCTTTCCTTTCTTTCCAATTGATCTTATTCATCTCCTTGATTCCTAGATATTTGTGCCCCTTCTGCTCGTTTCCTTCACTGCTTGGACCCTGTGGTTCAACGATTTTCTTCTTTTTGAAGATTAGCACTCCACACTTGTTTCAGCCACATTGCATACCAATGGCCTCGCTGTATTCGCGAAGCGTTTGTATTAATGAATCTTTTTTATCTGGGTTTTTAGCAAAAAACTCAAGGCAAATAACATCTATAAATAGCAGACTTTGTTTTTGAATCCTCTTAACCAGCAAATGCCTTTATGTTGCTTACGCCTATGCCTTTTGCAAGGTCAGTAATATTGCTATCACACATAAAACAAACAATAATGGTGATACGCTGTCCCCTTGAAATGTTTCTCTCCGGATATGCACATCTCCAAACTTTCAAAAGATGATGTTCACTCAGCGTCCAATGACCCCATACTATCACTCGGGAATTTTCTAACATTTTTCCGATCCATTCGAGGCACTGCTTTATCCAACTATTGAGCACCATATCGTTTACCTTTATGTAAAAGCTAGATCATTCTATAACGATTTTTCGGCACTATCTTGTCTATCAATTGTTTGTCCTTGGTTCCACGAGTAAACTTTCAATACCCTTTTTCTCTTTTGGTAAAATCTTTTCTATTTTCAGATACTCATAAACAACATTTTTCTCGGCCAACTTCCATTTGAGATTTTATCCAGCTGGATGAGAATTCCCTCGTGTAAAGAGAACAGTGCTGTATCCAATATCCCAGAGCGCCGCCTCCCTAGGGCTACTGATGAGCGATCTTTCTACTCTACTTTCTTAGCACCTAAACATTTTTAGCATCTCTATCTTTTCTTTATTACTCTACTCGCGCGCACCAAGTATTTCTCGTAGCTTATTTACTTATTTATTTAGATGTTTTTCAGTGCCCTTCTTTATTTATCAGAGTGCCAAAATAACAACTGCTACCATCGATGCCTTTAAACACTGCATTTTCACTTCTTCAATTCGGAAGGATTTATGCTTTGTGATCCAAATTCTTTTGCAGCTAATTTTCTATTTGAGGGTACTGAAATGTCATATAAACATGTGGTTCCTTCCGGACTGCTTGATTTATTAAGGATGGAAAAAATGCCCTTTTTAAGATTCAGCAAGAAACTAAAAACCCGAATACTTTCATGTCCGCATGCAGTAAGACGACACAGATGCTGCATAGATCTGTCTAAGAATGAAGAGCTAGACGGAATATGTTTGTTCACAAAAACCCAATCCCCTGTATCTCTTTGAAGACAACAAACCTAGACCTACTGATGCCTAGACTAAGCAAAAAGACAAAAATGACAGCATTACCGATGAGTTTTTCTGGCCACTCATGATTTTGGAGATCTCCAGCTTAATGATTTCTCGGTTTCTGCTGCTTACTTCAGAGAATATGCTATAACGAGTTTTAGAGTCCGGAATCGCGGTCTTGTCTAGCCAGCCACCGCAGGAGTATTGGTAGAAGTCTTCGCATGGATTTGTAGTCGTATTCATACGACTTATAACACCTGCAAAAGCAAAGATTCAATTTACTTCAATCTCAAACTTACAAACAAACTAACAAAGAAACTTACAAACAAATGGCAGCCATTCAAAACAATTATTAAAGCAGAACGATAACAAATTTTTCTAAGTTTGGTTAAACAAGCGCCCTGAAATCCCCGTTCATTACATCGAACGAAAGGACAAGGCTCCATCACATCTAAATCATCATATGAGGAATTTCCCAGTTTTCTACATTATTCCTTGTATTATTCTAGAATCAAAGGTTTTTACCAAGAATGGTCGAAAGTCTACTGTAAAGAGGACGTTATGTAGAGGCTTGAATTTCACTTTAATTTCACGACAATGAGCTTGCATCATACTTAAGCTTTTCGTCTGACACTTTAAGAGGATAAAACGTCAAAACTCTGCGCTGGGAAATATATAAATATATATATACCCATCGGTGGATCAAAATTGGTCAATCACAAACGCGAGGCTGCCCCATCAGTGCCGCTCCGCTTGCCTATTTAGAATGTTACCAGTGGAGTCCAGTCCGAAGGTGAAAAGAAAATCCTTCAAACTGCACATAAGCTACTCTTGAATGATTATGTAGATATATTTCAAAACTGCTAGACGGAACGACGATCAGGCTCTACCAATAATGCGAGACATGTTACTTTGGTAGTTTTTTGCACAATCTGGGTTTTCCAGTGAATGCTGTCCTATGGCTGGATCGCATGTTTTAAGTTGTCGTTTTTGATCTGCAAGACCGAGGAGGCTGTCCTCTTTTGGGGAGGATTCTGCTTCTAATGCTGGAATAGACATGCTTTTTTATTCTATCCCAATCTCTTGGTTGTGCGTCCTGTGTAGCCAGGATCTCACTGGCAGACAATGAGTTTGTCTCATAAATGATTCTTGTTAATCTACTAATACTTTAAAACGAGCATTCGATTCGCTGATTATGATTTCTTCTTTCAAACACCGTCAAGAATGCAAATGTTCGCATAAAAAAGAATTCTATAGTCCTACAGCCTAGAGATGTTAGAAGAAACCTCTATACACATGACGGATCACATGCATGTTCAGTCCAACATCTACCCACCTTCTCCTTTTAAAGTTGGAGCGTACAATGAATCCTTGCAAAGAAAAACCAAGCCAGGGCTTTGTAATACTATGGTAATATTGTGATGTAACAACCTTTAATGGACAGATAATGCTTCTCCTGAAAAGTTGCAAAGGAATGGAAAAGCCTCTCACCTAAGTTGAAACAGGTCTCCTCGCTAAATAGTTTAAATTCTTGAATATCAATTCTTAGTTTGATTTGTAACTTTTTGATATTTTTAGGTATAAATCTTATCCCCTCTTCTAAAAAAGGTGTTTAAGTTATACTTCCAAAATGATTGATGTGGTTGCTTGAAAGTCAGTTGAATATATCAAATAAATGAATGATTGAATGGTTGAATGAATCAATTAATCAATTAGTGAGTTAATTCATTCATTAATGAAATAAAGGCTACACTTTGTGCCAAATTTAGCGCTGTTTTTCATAATGGGAGCTTTATGTGAATTGATATTAAACAGCAAGTTTCATTTTACTTAATTATTTTTAAATAACATAAATAGCAAGTTTCGATGTAGGCAACTGATAGCTTTTCTTGTTCCATGTGGTAGAACTGGCGGATTTTTTAATTGCACTACTACGCCAATTCTGGTCATTTCCTGATTACAAAAGGCGCAAACATATGCTGACATTGGTAAAAACAGTTTTGAGGACGATTGGTAATCTAAAGATTTAATTATCTTAAAGTATTGATTACCTTTCTACAGAGACAGTTTTCTTCCTTTACATAAAAATTCACACAAATATTTCATACAAGGTATACATTTAAAATGAAAAAGATCCCGAACTCGCGAAATATGACGACAACAAATGATTCGCCTAAAGAAATAGCAAAAAAGAAGCAGAGTAGTATTGTGAAATCTGGCGTTGTTTGATCTAAAGTGATAAGCTACTCATTGAAAACACATGTTACGCAGAGAGAAGTCTCTTAAAAAGGACCATATGCGCTGAGACCGATATCTACTGATAGCCTACTGGAAGAAGAAGCATACAGACTCTTCTAGCCAGCATGGTGCGAGGAGGACAGTTAATTATTTAGAACCTGTGTGTAAAAAGCAGCAATCAAAGACATAATTTATAAAACATGTACGAAGATAATCGGAGAACATTCAACCCTTGCTGATATCGATTTTGCCTTAGTTGATGATTAGATCTGATCTTATCTAATGCTGGCTGCAAAATAAGACAATAACAGATTCACGCGAGAGCTGAATGGTAATTTCGTTGTTAACAATGTACCTTCTCAAGGAAGTTCCCTCAGTTTTAGTGTGAGGCCTTTGAAAGTTTTAGTGAGCTTTTTATTGAAAGCTACCAAAAACATAAATGCACCAGAATTTAAGATGCCTTTGATTTATTTCATTGTTTGCAACGTGATATGCGAAAACGATGGAATATGAACGCATTATCATGTGAACTGACACAAAAAAAACTTACACTGAAACAAAAAGCAAAAGAAGACGCGCTGGAAGCAGGGCTGGGTCAACAAAAAAACACCACTTAGAATTAGTCGTTTACAGAAACAGTTTTCTGGCAATTCGTCCGATTTTCTATAAAGCACCAAAATAACTGTTATAAACTGAATATAGATTCTAAATATTTTCAAATTTCTGGTTCTGAAAATGCCATGAAAATAGAGCTAGTAAGATCTACGAAGTTTGCTCTAAACCAACGTTCATTCGTAGGGCAGGGAAATTGTTTGAAATGATGCTAATTGATTTACTTCGGCTGTTCGATAATTCTCCGCTTTCTCGTTCGCGTGGGAAATCTGTAGGATTTGTCAGACATGATGAAAACAAGGCAACATTCTAGTTGAACAGTGTGCAGGCTCTCTTTCTACACGTTCGAAACCATGTAAACAAGATTTCCGTATTGTACGGTGGTTGAATCCGCAATTTGCGTATAACGGATCAATTACATTTAGGCAAATCTAGAAACCACCCGATGGTAAAAAGGATCAAATGAAGTATGTGATTGGAATGTGCTTGAATTGAATCATTTCTGTATGAGAAACCACTCGATAAACCTCTAACAGCCCGTTTCTGAACATTTAGAGATACTTCTAAGAATCAACATCAGTCAACTAAAAATTGTTTCTTACTTGTTTGTTTTCTTTTTTTTAAAACTTTCTGTGAAACCTTACACATATCATTATTCAGAGTTTGCGAATCATCACATCAGTCTTACCACTCACCACTATCTTTAAAAAGTAAAGAATTTTCAAAAAGGATACTTGTTCCTTCGAAAATTTCAAATTAACCTCCAAATTTCCCTATTTTGTAATTTGAGAGACTCAATTTGTAAGTATCACTGTCGAAAATCGTGAAATTTTATTATTAAATATACAGTCATTATATACCATATTGCCATATGTTGCAAATTGTGTTTCTCGTAAGATTATGCAATGCTTAAGTAGCGTGGGGATGGGTCGGTGGTCAGGGTCCTGGACTAAAGATCCAAGGGTCAGAGTTGGAGTCCCTACTATGACCAGGCTCACTTGGAGTAGCCAAGGAGTATGGCCAGCTCTATACAATTCCGGGCATGAGTATCAAGAAATTTTGTCACATCGAGAGGAAGACCACTGCGCGATAGTCTCACGAAAGTGTCCTAAAACTACACTCGGAAGCTAGGTAGACTACTATTTTTAACAAAGCAAAATGCAACACTTGATACAAGGTAGAAAAAGTAAAACTTAAAGATTTAGAAATGTGCATTTGGCAGCGATGAGAAATAAGATTGAATCACATAGATAAAATTGCAGGAATTACAATAAAATATTTAAGAGGTGACATCCAATTGAACTTTAAACGCCGAAGATTGCTGAATAAACTCACATGTCAATCACTGCAAAGGTATCTTTTGAGCGAAAAAGAAATAATTCTCGTTCGTATTCCTTCAATTATAAATTGCAATGTATTATCAATCATTGCTATACGATGCAAAAAAATTGATCTCACCACGAGTACCATGCAAAATTATCGCTAAACAAAATTAACGCTGAAAATGGAATAATTGATCTCACCAGCAGCTACTTGGACACAATTTGATTGCAGACACTCTTTCCTCCTAGAAGATTGTTGTTCCTTAACCGCATACAGAACAATAAACGCAACTGCAACTCCAGTACTTACTAGGGCCAGTGTGTACAAACAGCGAATTCTCCTAATCTGGCGTGATATAGTATGATGGATTCTTATAGTCGAGTACTGCTGATTCCTTGCACTCTTTCCCATAATTTCAAACTTAGATATATCCCTGTATTGCAAGCTGGAAATATCACAAAAGCACCCTAGCACATCTGCAATGTTCTGCTCCTCTCAGGTGCTTGAATCAGTATGTGCAACCTGCAATTTTTCTCGGCTGTCGATAATTTGAATATCACAATTCCAGATGTATTCCAGTCAGGCAAAATCGATATAGCCTAAAACTTTACACAAAGGAGTTGTCAACAATCTTTAGACAAATGGCATCTTCCTAACAGTCGAAGAAGTATGTTGCTTATCAGGTATTTTCATGGGATTTCAGCTCTTTGAATAGGCTATGCCTGCTGCAATCATACCATTCGTAAGTACTGGTATAAAGCTAAACCAGAGTGATAGAAGCAAACCGATTTCCGACCGCAAACTGAAGTACCGCTATAGGCAACCAATGAGTAGCCTTTCCTAACGTTCTGTATTTGTTGAGCGCGCGATGCCAATATCGTTCAGGACTTTGGAAATAAAACCTTGAGATATTGCGTCAATAGGAAGTACATATATAGTGGACAAGATTTTTGCTCAGATTTTCAAAGCTTTCTCAGCGCCGTATTTTCAATAGCAAACAAAATTACGATAACTGCCCATCACATCTCAATGACATGCCCTTATCGCAAATAATTTCAATGTTTTCCACGTTTTTTCCAGGGTTTCCGTGCTGCAGGCGTTTTACGTCTCTCGCGCCAGTTTCCTCAACTTCAACAAAAATCCCCATTGGTGGGCAACGACTATTTTCTCTTTTCACACGTTATCATAACCATGCAATTAGTTTGCTTTCGTTGCTAAATTACATATATGCAAGCAAATAGTCATTATGTTTCTGTTTGTTTGTGAGTCTTCTGCAAACATGAAGAATCATCTTAGAATGGCACGTGTACACAAATTTATACACCACCTTCTTTTAACTTTGCACAGGAAGCTAAATTTTCCCTAGATACTTCCCCTTACGCTTGAAAATAAAAAACATCCCCAACATGCACTCCAGCCTCGTGGAGTATGTTTACGAGATGCTAAGCAAGCACCCTGAAATATCAACCTGGCACCATTTATTGGTTTAAGATGCTTGGAATGTTGTTTTGCCTGACGCTTCGGAAATATTTCGCTAAGCCATTTAACCATATTCTATACAATACACGACTGAGGTTTCGCTACCCTGTGAGATATAAATTAATTTATTTGATAAACCGAAACGATTCGTTTTTGTGAATGTTTGCTGAATGACGCTGCACCTTTCCTGTTGATCTAAGATTCTTCTCTGCATGCCACCATTTTTTATTGAGGTCGATCAGATTTAACCCAAATGATATAAAATATGTCTATTCTTAATTAAAGGAAATTTTCAACATATTAACAGAACAAATTTATTAATTTATTGTGTTACTCTGATACTCTTTCTTGAAGACAAGCCAGTTTTCGTATGTCGCTAAAATCATTTTAAGCATCTAGCATTTCTGCTTTAGACGATCAACTCAAAAACCAAAAGTAGATTGGCGGCAACAAAGCTGTAACACTCTACTAGTCTTGCCTGTAGTTAATATGCAAAAGTAGCAAAATTCTGTTATAAAACATTGCTGGTCGAAAGGAAAATAAACTAAAACCGGAAATTTCAGCAGAACACTGTGGGTTCACACCAGGGGAAGGCAGAAGAAAACAAACCCTAAACGAGAAAAAGACCTGTATTATACAGGCTGTATCTCTGCTTTATTGATTATACAGAAGCATTTGACACGATAATACATGACATTTCATGGAAAAACATGCGAGACATGGAGATTCCCATCTCCATCTGCTCAATGATTGTTCAAAAATGATGCGAAAAGCGCTACATGAGCTTGACGGAAAAGTTAAAGTTGCATGTCTCAAAATTACAAACTTGAAATATGCGAACAATATTGTTCTAATAGCCACAAGCATTACAGAACTTCAAGATCTTGTGAACAGGGTAAATAATGAGAGCGAACGCAGGGGACGTTTGCTAAATGCAAGGAGGACGAAGGTCATGAAAATCATGTCATGAAAATGGGAAGAACTAGTAATGCAGGTAACCATTCTAGCCATTCTTAAATCTCAGTCAACAACGAACCAGTCGAAAGGTCAATGAACTCATCCAACTTGGTGCGACCTTTACGAATAATAACGACGATACCATAGAAATCAGGAGAAGAATTGGCATTGCAAAACGTGCAGCCATTGCCTGCAAGAATAGGAGCATCCCTTTAAAAGCAAAAAAAAGATAATATGCCTATGATGATAATGCTGGGTCCTCAAGTCATCAGATAAAAAAGGTTGAAAAGTTTCAAATTATGCACCAGTTGGGCAGAAAAGAACACGAACGTGTGTTGATGTGTTGCAAACGATTAACTGTGAAGCCGAAACCTGAATGCTGAACATGATCTATGCTCGCAAGCAGACTTTATTCGGCCATAAGACATGACAGCCTCGAAAAACCTCTCCTCCCTGGTATTGTTCACGGCAAGCGAGGTAGCGGAAGACCAGAACACGACTGAACAATCATTTGAAAGAAATTTGCGGTTTGAAACTGCTGAAGAATGTCAGAAAATTGGAACAATTGCAAAAAGCTTGTGAAGAGGCCCACGACCAGAGACCGCGAAAACGGGAGGGGGGCACGGGGGCTTAAGCCACACCCCAATAATTTCCAAAATGTACTTAAAACTAAACCAAAATTGCAGTGTTCTTGGTTTTTAGCATGTTTAGTGTTAAGCTCCCCAAAAAACGTTCTAGCCCCCTTAATTAGTAAGACGTTCCACGGCCTTTGACCACGGCCAATCAATATCTTGATTGTATTGTACAGTATTGTACTATATTGTATTGTATTGTATTGTATTGTATTGTATTGTATTGTATTGTATTGTATTGTATTGTACTGTATTGTATTGTATTGTACTGTATTTAATGTATTGTGTTGAATAGTATCGTATCATATCGTATCGTATCTTATCGCATTGATGAAACTTGAATAGGAAATTCCAACTCATTTTTTATTTTGATTTAGAAAACATTGTTACTTAGTAGTAAATTAGCGGTAGCGTGGGACGGTAGCGGGCCCAATATAAATTTTTATAAATTTTGCGCCTATTCTTGCGTAATAAAGCTATCAAAACTCTTTTTGCCAAAAGAACATTCTTGCCTCTATGCGGATTTTCATTTTCCATCCTTCTTTGTTCTTAAAAACTTATAACAGTCTTCATTTACGAGAGGAAGCTGCAGGAAAGCCTGAATTCCCTTTTTCAAAAACAATGGTGAAAGGCATTCAAAACTAAACATGTGGTAGAATCGAATGGATTTTTTTACAAATTTCCAACGAATCGCAAATTTTGCGATTACTGGCATAAATGTCGAAAATGAAAGATATTTAACATGAGTGCATTGCTGTATCTCCTTCTGTCCTTAATCTGTACAATCTCTGCCTAGATAGGACAGTCCTTATACCACCTAATTTGGCGCCAAATTTTTTATCTAGAAACTTGTAAATGGTAGCTATCTTAACGTGTCTGCAAAATATTGCCACAATCTGAGGTTTTATAAGACCTCCAAACTTTTGGCGAGAAACGTATCATGTGAAACGTATGACGTAGAACTTGACAATCTTAGACAAGTTGCTGAAAGCAGAGCATTGAAAGGAGAGATTTGAGGATTTGGGATCATTTGGGAACCTAGAAAATGTTTAACTGTATAAATCGATTTTGAATAGAATATGCGATTCTGCTATCAGGCAGCATTTACTGAAAAGCCCAGATTGTACAAAAAACTATAATGGCGAAATGTTTCGGATTATTTGTAAAGCCCGATCTTCTTTCCATCTGGCACTTCGTTTCCACCTTAGAACTCCACTGTTAACATTCTTAATAGGCAAGCGGCACTGATTGGGGAACCTCAACAGTCATGTGCTCGCGTTTCTGATTGGCCTATTTCGATCCACAACTGGGTATTAATATTTTCTAGCGCAGAGTTTTCGATCTATGTTCTGACGTTTTAAACTCTGAAGAGTGCCAGAGTATTATTATTATTATTATTATTATTATTATTATTATTATTATTATTATTATTATTATATGCCAGAAACGTTACTTCACATTGTTGCAGGTTGCAAAACATACCTCGAAGAAGGCCGTTACACATGGCGCCATAACTCTGCATTGAACTTCCTAGCACAATCTTTAAAAGCTATACCTAATTGCTCTCTTTACGCAGACCTTTCAGGTTATCTCTCACCCTCTATCATAACAGGAGACTCTTTCCGTCCTGATCTACTTCTAGTCACTTCTGACCATCGACTATTCATACTCGAGCTTACAGTAGGATACGAAACTAACTTGGATGTTAATGCTAACCGCAAAAGAGAGAAATACTCGAATCTCATTCACAGCCTATTCTTCTATCATGTTTGTTAATCTTTCTATCAGTTCCCTAGGTATCTTTGGTCTCTCTTGCTCCTCTTTCATCGACATGTGCAACGCTCTAGATATCAGCGAGAATCATCTCCGCTTCATGATCTCCAAACTATCCAACTTAACTATCCGTACTACCTATTACATTTTCTGCCGCAGAAATAAATCTTGGAATAATCCTGAACTTCTTCAATTCTAACGATCTCTGCTACTGACGACTTCTAAAACAAACAATGACGAACACACTTTTTCCTTCTTTTTTTTTGTTAATTTCTTTTGTTTGTGCTTGTAATAATTGTGGTGACATTTTTCCCTTCAGTAACTGGTTTTGGATGGTGCTCGTACCAGTTACTCTTGGTTTCTAAGGAGAAGTGGTTCAGGATTTTCCAGTGGAGGTATTGACCAATCCTATCATGGCGATTTTGTATTCAATTGTTGTCAGTACAGAACAACTTGAGGCAAGGTGGTCAATCGTTTCTACCTTTCCCTCACAGAATCTACATTTTTCATTTGCTCCATTGTGCAACACATTGGCTTGATAATTCCTCGTGAAGAGACTTTGGTCTTGGGCGATTATTATTATCATTATTATTATTATTATTATTATTATTATTATTATTATTATTATTATTATTGTTGTTGTTGTTATTACTATTATTATTACTATTATTATACACATGGCGCCATAACTCTGCATTGAACTTCCTAGCACAATCTTTAAAAGCTATACCTAATTGCTCTCTTTACGCAGACCTTTCAGGTTATCTCTAACCCTCTATCATAACAGGAGACTCTTTCCGTCCTGATCTACTTCTAGTCACTTCTGACCATCGACTATTCATACTCGAGCTTACAGTAGGATACGAAACTAACTTGGATGTTAATGCTAACCGCAAAAAAGAGAAATACTCGAATCTCATTCACAGCCTAAGCTCAGCCTATTCTTCTATCATGTTTGTTAATCTTTCTATCAGTTCCCTAGGTATCTTTGGTCTCTCTTGCTCCTCTTTCATCGACATGTGCAACGCTCTAGATATCAGCGAGAATCATCTCCGCTTCATGATCTCCAAACTATCCAACTTAACTATCCGTACTACCTATTACATTTTCTGCCGCAGAAATAAATCTTGGAATAATCCTGAACTTCTTCAATCCTAACGATCTCGGCTACTGACGACTTCTAAAACAAACAATGACGAACACACTTTTTCCTTCTTTTTTTTGTTAATTTCTTTTGTTTGTGCTTGTAATAGTCTTTTTCTTTGTAAACCCAGGCTAGCCAATTGCAAATTACCTTTGTAATAGTGAAATTTGTAATTGTAGTTTTAATTGAATTGAAAATGAAAAGTTTCCATTATTATTATTATTATTATAAGTGGAACTTAAGCCAGCCTTCTGACTGTTCTGTCTGTTTTCTGCCAGAAACCCTCCTTCACGTTGTTGCTGGCTGCAAAACATATCTGGAACAAGGCCGATACACCTGGCGACATAACTCTATCCTAAACGTTCTGGCTACTTCACTAAAAGCTGTCAATGAATCTACCATCTACGCTGATATACCTGGCTTTCTTTCACCATCAATCATAACTGGAGAAAACCTCCGCCCTGATCTTCTCTTGAAGACTAACAACAATTACCTCTACATTTTACAGCTAACTGTTGGTTTCGAATCCAATCTTAACACAAATGCTACAAGAAAACACAGCAAGTATGCTCCTCTTTTATCTGGTTTACAGCGGCAGTTCAAATGTGTCTCTTTTGTTAATCTTTCTATGAGCTCTTTTGGCATCTTCGGCAATTCCTGCAATTCATTCTTCAAAATTTGTGACTCTCTCTCCATCGATCAGCAACAAAAACGGTATCTCATTTCTAAACTTTCCAACATTGCCATCCGTACTACGTACTACATATTTTGTTGCAAATATAAGCCATGGACAAATCCGGAATTACATCCTTTTTAACTTTGGTTGTTTTATTTTTCTTTTTTTTCTCAGTTTTTCCTTCTACCTTACGATTGTATTAGTTTTTCTTGAAAAACCAGGCTAGCCAATTGCAAATTACCTTGTAATAGTGAGATTTGTAATTGTAGTTTAAGTTGAATTGAAAATGAAATGTTTCCATTATTATTATTATTATTATTATTATTATGGCTAATTAAGTGATTCACAGACACCTAGATGTTAATTGGTCCGGATAATATAGGAGGGAGCAGTCAGCAACAAGCTGACAAAGGTCCCATTCTGTCATCTCAAGTTTACATAGACAATGTCTGTCTCAAAATCCTGGCTGTTCCTAGCAGTGCTGTCTTTTGTATCACCTGTAACTATACATCAATTCCGAT